CCCCCCCCTATGGGGGACTCTGGGCGGCTTTTTGACTTTTGTTGGCCCTCGGCATTTTTGCCTTCACGGATGCCCCTCCCTCCATAAAAATAATAGGATTAAAATTATATTTCATATTATTTTCAATATTGAACTACTGCAATGCACTGTACATGGGGCTGCTCTTGAAAACCATCTGGAAACTTCAGTGGGTCCAGAATGCAGCAGCATGGTTATCACCTTTAAAGTCATCCATGGCATAGGACTGGGTTACCTGAGGGACCACCTTCTCCCAAGAACATCTGCCCACCCCATATGCTCCACAAGGCATGCTCCAGGTTCCTTCTTTTAAACCTTGTCATCTTATGGGACCTAGGTAGTGTGCCTTTTCTGTGGTTGCCCCGTCCTCCAGAGGGGGACTCTTCCCCCCCCAATATATGACAGGCCCCAACTCTTCTCACCTTTAAGAAAGCCATTAAGATCTGGGTTTTCTGCCAGGCATTAGGGGCCAGCTGAGTGAGAGTCCCCTTTTCATCGTTTGTTCATTGTTTTGTTATGTACTGGTTGCCATTTTATATTTTATACAGTCGATTCTTGTTATTTGTGGTAGTTCTGTTCTATAAAGTTGCTGCAAACACTGAATTAGCAAATACTGACCCATTGCTCCTAGTTAAATACAGGACACTTGCTTACAGTATGAGAGCTGAAACAAGAAGGGAGAGTGTTGCTCTTCCCCTCTTAACCTTCCAAAAAGCCATGAAGACCTGGCTTTTCCCACAAACATTGGAACAGTGTGAGTCTGGAGTCCAGAAAAGTTGTCTGCTGAATATGAGGCGCCTGTCGTTTTTGGGGGGCACCAATTCTTATGTCAGTTTTATTGTCTTATTATTGTTTGTAAGCCGCCCAGGGTTATGATACATAAGATGGGCAGCTATATAAATCTTTTAAATAAATAAATAAAATAAGAAGGAAGAGGTACTCAGAATAGGGTTCAAATTTCTGTTTTGAAAAATTGCAAGTTCAAAGGAAAAATCTTTGTGCTGTCACACTGCTGGGAGTATAAAAGATGTTCAAACACAGTTTGAATTCTCCAGAGGTATAAAACACAACAATTTATCTGCCCTCATAGGGTCTCCAGAATTTCCACAACTGTGAGACAAATAGGGACACCATGAAATACGAAAAAAATTAGAAAATATACTGGAAGTAGATCCCCCCCAAAATGGGCCATTTCCCAGCTTAACCAAGGGATGTTGTATTAAATATTCTTCCTGAGTTAATACAAGGAGGACATGCATTAGCAACAGAGAGTGCTAAAGAGAGAAAAAATGCATTAAGTTTTTGCTGTAACAGCTTCATACAATTCACGCTGTGATTTGATTCAAGGTTGGAAGAGAGTCACACTTCTGCTGCAAAGCTTAAAGCAGAGCTGTCTGTTCAGCGTAAGACCTTCAGAAATCATAGAATTATGTTTTGGACACAGAATTTAATTCTTAAGATTCTCAGCAGCTGCTGCTGTTCCCCCCCCCCCCCCTGCTCCAAGAATAACTTATCCTTGTGGCGATAGTGAACTATTGTAAAATGTATGCAGAATGTCAGGGGAATTCCTAAGCCAAAGAAAAGTCCAAATAAGATTTCCAGAAGTCAAAACAAAGGATTTTCAGTGACTTGCGTAAGTCTTACTTCCCATTATAACTAGATGATACAAAATAAATCTTGGCTGCAGATAGAAATCCTGTTAATCACTAAAACTGCCTAGTGACCATCAGCTGCAAACCTCAGCTTTTGTTTCAACAGAATGTATATTACTCTGATGCCAAGACCTGACATATCTTTTCTGAACAGAGCACATCCAACGTCCTGCCTATCGCAGAAGGGCTGACCCAGTACAGGTAGTCCTTGAGTTACAATGGCAGTTAGGACCAGGATTGCCATCACTAAGTGAATGCAGTTGTAAAGCACAAAGTCACATGACCGGATCACTTAGTGACGGCAATCCAGGCAGTCCCAGTTGTCATCGTAACTCAAGATGCGCAGGTCACTAAGTGGGAAGCCGAGGGAATCCCAGATAAGGATCGTGGGGGTGTCGCAGGAGGGTGAGGGAGGTCCTGGGAGGATCAGCACAGGCCACGTGCAAGTTGGAGGAGGGGGTGCTCAGTGCAGCACGAGCTCAGAAGGGCTGGGGAATGAGGACATGGGGTGCATGCGATCGCAGGGAGGCCATGAAAAGAGGGTGTTGGGGTGCATGCATGCGTGTGTGTAATTGCAGGGAGGCCGTGGAAAGAGGGTGCATGCATATTTGTGTGTAAGCACAGGGGGGCTGGGGAAAGAGGGTGCAGAATGTGTGTGAGCGAAGGGGGGAAGGAGAACACGGTGTATGCAAGCAAAGGAAGGCCGGGAGGGGGGAAAACTTACCCCAGTGACTTGCAACCTTCCTTGCTGGCTTTCCATTAACTTTGCTTGGGGGAAGCCAGCAGTGAATGGTGCAAATGGCGATCACATGACCGCAGGACGCTGCAACTGGTCATAAGTGCAAGTTGGTTGCCAGGCACCTGAATTTTGTTCACGTGACTGTGGGGGCACTGCAATGGCTGGAACTTCAAGGACTGGTAGTAAGTCTCCACCGTTGTAACTTCGAATGGTCGCTGAATGAATGGTCACAACTTGAGGACTACCTGTACCAAGCTCTGACCCCAGAAAAAATTATAAAGGAGCTAATTTCAACTTAGATTCAAAGTTTACACATATTTTAAATACCGGCTTAATTAACTCGACTCCTCCTACTATCGCAGCTCCATTTTCTGTTGCTAGTATTGCCTCTTCTGGATCCTGAAAGGAAAAAAATCATTTAGTCAGAAGACACTGGGAATACTGAATATTTCTTTGCATTACCACACCCACTCAAAAAAAGAACATAAAAATCTTTCTGGGCAGATGTAAGGGCATCCAGATTGAGGCTTCCAAATATATTGGGCTTCACCACTCACATAATTCCTAGCAAGCATGACCTACAACCAGGCTAGCTGGATAAGATTGGGGATGGTCCAGCATTTGTAAAAGCTAACAAACTGGGGAAACTGGATGTGAAAATCTATTGCCAGAAGTGGATATATGAAACAAGCTGAACACTCTTGTTATGATGTCATCCATTTGAAGCTCTAAAAAGTGATCCTGGAGCTAAATTCCACCTCCAATGGAATATCAGTTAACAGGGACCCTGTAAATTCTTGGGCACATTCTGTATCAAGCATAGAATAAGATACATATTTGGCGAGGGGTGGGTGCACACACACGTGTAGGAAACTATATGCTAACATCAGTCCCCAAATGCATAATAATAAAGTATCTAGCATCAATTCAGCATCAATTTAATTATGCAATGCTAATGTTTAGAAAAAAGGATGAAGAAAAAAATAGTATGATGATTCTATAGGCATAGCTAGTTTTTCATAATTGTGAAAAAGGACCAAGATATCTTCAGCTGCTAATGGATAAACATCTGCAAAACCTATTGCATTTGTTCTTCCTTGCTGCCTTCTCTATCAAACCCACCTACCCATTAGTTATATAGTATTGTTTATTTTTTATTAAATCTCTGTCAAGTCTATGATTTAGCCGTCATCCACAACCACAACTGAAATGAAGGCTAAAGTGTGCATCCTTCTACCTGGCCACATGAATCTACAGGTAGTCCTTGTTTACCGATCTCTTGTTCAACCACCATTCGAATATGCGATGGCACTGAATGAGTGGTACTTACAACTGGTCCTCGAAGTTCCGGCCATCGCAGCGCTCCCATAGTCACTTGATCGCAATTCGTGTGCTTGGCAACCGGCTTGCATTTACGACGGTTGCAGCATCCTGCGGTCACATGATCACCATTTGCAACCTTCCCTGCCAGCTTCCCACAAGCAAAGTCAATGGGGAAGCCAGCAGGGAAGGCTGCAAGTTGCTCTGGTAAATCCCCCTGGTCTTCCTGCACTTGCACCACACCATCCACCCCCCTCTGGTGTTCCTGTGCTCATGCATGGCCTGCACCAGGCCTCCCAACCCCTCCGTGCAGCCCTCACGCACTCCTTACCTGGGATTCCCACTGCTTCTTGCTTAATGATCTGCGTGTCTTGGAGTTACAATGGCAACCGGGACTGCCAGGATTGTCGTCACTAAGCGATGCGGCCACGTGACATCACGCTTTACAACCACATTACTTTGCAACAGCAATTCTGGTCCCAATTGCCATTGTAACCTGAGGACTACCTGTATCCTTAATCATATCCTCTCTAAGGATTTAATTTGCTCTAAGGATTTCTATCACCTGTGTCTAAATATACATTAAGGGACGCCCAGGATCCCTTTTCTGTTTTCACTAAAGTTGTGATGGAATAGTTTGATGAAGGCTGCACTCGGGGAGATAAGCATTTCCTTAGCCCCCAACAGGAGCATGGGAAGGCTAAGAAGATGAGACTGGCACCACGGTGTTTTGGCTGGCTGGCTTGGGAAGTATAGATTCAGTCTGGAGAGATTTCTGTCTGAGAGGCTGAAGCTAATAAATGCAACAGAACTGTATCTGTACTGTCTCGTGGAGTTCTTTGGGCTGAACCTGATAAAAGGGCTCTTCCTGCTGATTACACAATAAAAACAAATAAATTGAGTCTCTGCGCATAAAATTCCTGATACCTTAAGCAAACCTCATTCCGCATGCCTCATGGGAACAGAGTTATGCTGTATGCCAATGTAATATGGAGGTGACTGAAGCATCTTTGACTCCATGCTCAATAACTCACCTCAGTAAATACTAAAATCTTGGGGATGACATCTGTGTAACGGTAAGGCAACAAAAAAGTACTAATAAATGGCCCCAGAGTTTTCTGAAAGGTATAAAAGCAAAAGGAAAAAAAACACATTATCTGATTCAACAACACAAATACTTATTTGATATATGAGAAATTTCAATATATATAAAAATGTAAATATATATTTGTAAAATATATATATATATATATATTACATTTTTTAAACTGTCTCAAGAATAATTCTTAGACTTACAGAGCTCCATTCAAAATATTAATTTTGGGTCATTTTAAAAGCAGTGCCTGAAGTCACTTTTTACTGATATATTTGCTGTGCTTTGATCAAAGTTGGACAACTTTTAGATGTGTGAATTTCAATTCCCGGAATACTCAGCCATGGCCTGACTAGGGAATTGAAGTCCATACATCTGGAAGTTGCCATGGTTTGGAAGTACAATTTTAAGTTGTTTTACTGCTATGACTTGGCCTTGGTTTTATGCTGTTTATATTTCAATGCACTGTGGGGCGGGAGGGGGGAGACATATTGTTTTAAAGTTTTATTAACAACATAATGCTATCTTGTATTTAATTGTTATAGTTGATTGATCTCTTGGGTAGACATGGTCTGGAAAGGGAAGTTAAATGTATATAAAAAAAGAAAAGGTCAGGATTCTTTGCCTTCTTCTTTTCTCAGTTTGTAATCTAGTATTCTCACTGGCTTCAGTTCAGGTAACAGCTATAATAAGATTTTAAAAGTTATTTTTTTAAAAATTAAAAACATATAAAATACATTACAGAATCCAAATAACTAATCAACTAGGACCATAAGCACAAGAAAACTCAATTTATTACATCACTTCATATTTTGCCATTTCAACTATAAAGTGCTCAAGGCAACTAACAATGTAAAACGTAAATTAAATATGGTTAAAAGCACTGAAATTATTAGGACAACTCAAAAGGCCTGAGTAAAAAAGACAATGGAATTTAGAAAAATTCCTCAGTCATTCTTACTCTAATTCCTCCCTAGATATCTTGATTATTTACTTCTAGGACTTCAACACTTTTTAGTTATATGACTCTAAGCAGTATGTAGAGACATATTAACTGTTCAAAGCACCAACCACACAACACAAACGGAACCCCAATTTTTCCCCACCTAATTTTATTCAATCCATCCAATACTTATAACTGCCGAAACATTTTACAGTTTGTCAAAAACATTCTGAATAACTACCTGCTAGACAGCCTAGTCCCTGGTAATAATCTGTTCTGTTAATCCTTACGCTGAGAATTGTTCACAGACTACACAATTTCATTGTTTGACTTGGTTTCAAAAAAACCTCCCTTCTTACAAAATCTCAAAAACGATTCCAGCTACAAAATAAGGCTGTAAAAAAAGGAAACGCTACATACGAGCCAATACCTTCTTGTCCAATGCCATGTCCAAGGTGATGTCAGCATACAATTCTTGGGTGGGGGATGTAAAATCCAGTGGCTGAAATTTCTTCAAGAGCTCTAAAGCCACTTCTGTGTCATAAACTGGTCTTTGATAACACCAGGTCAAATAAACATCATCCTTCGGCTCACGCGGTAAAGGCAATTTATAACGGTCATCTTTGTTCTTAGCCTCTGATGCCTGGGTTTTTTCTTGGGAGACTCTTTTATATTTCTTTTTTGATCTTTAAGGGAACAGAAGCAGTTTTGTTTTACATAGTTCTGCTGAATACAATTTTTTCAAAAATGGCTACACACCATCTTAGAGATAAGAATTGCCTTAATCCACAACAAAACTAGGAGGAAAACACACAACGTATACTATACTAGAAATTTGATTTATTTGAGAAAACTAGGTGCTACACTTCTATCCAAAGCCACACCAGTGACCCAGTTATCACTAGGGACAAAGGGATTAGGATTTTCGATTAAAGGGACATGCAGAAGAAAAAGAGAGAAGCAAAGACAGGAAATTATACCTAAATTAAAAGCATGTTCCCATTTGCAGGTTGGGTCCAAAACTAGAAAATATTAAATAAAGTTCCAGAGAAATAGCTGTTTTCTCTTACATTTCAACAAGTTCAGCTCTGGGGAGTCCTTGGTGCTCTCTGAGCTTGGTTGTTTGCTTGCAGACATTTCATTACCCAACTAGGTAACATCATCAATATATAATGACATATATTCTCTTCTATTGGAAAGTTCAACTCTATTTCATGACAAACTTTTAGGAACTAGAAAGATCCGTCTATGTTTTAGCTATTTCCTGACAAATATAGATATGCGATTAATATGGGTGGAAAATATTTAAAATTATTAATTTTTAAGCTCTCGTCATTTGTCTCAGTGGATGGATGATGAAATTAGAGGGGAAAAATCTGACTCCCTTAGAGTTTTAACCTATGACTAATACTGCATGGAACCAGCTTTTGAATATAATTACAAACACAGCTACAATGTTTTCAAGGTACAATCGAAGTGCTATATTTATAAATGCCTCCATAAGAAGCAAATGCATTTCATAATTGCCTGCACAGTGCACCAGAAACAATATGTCATAATCATAGAATTTAACAAAATCTTAGATATGTAGTATATTTTATGTAATAGTGTATTTCATGTAAGAACAGATTGCATATCTGAACTCAGATACTAGTGATATGCTTGTCTGGCCCTGTTCAATATTTCTATTTATGCTACTATGTATGTATGTGTATATGCATGTGTGTGAATGTTTGTATACATGAATGTTTGTACTAACGATTCAAATGAATCCCCCTTATTTACTTACTTTGCAGCATAGTTTCTACTGGGAACCAGTAAGTTAGTAAAACAAGGAAGCACTGCAGAATGCTGAAGAGTTCTAGAGAAAATATGGCTAGGACTCTGAGCAAAAACTGTAGAAAGACAAAAACAGAGAATACATTCTTCTAATAATAGTCCAGAATGAACTATATTGCTAGTCATGTTTTAATTGCATAAGTTGGAAAGGCCTTTCTAAGCCCTTAATAACAGAAAAAGGTCTATAGATGATGCAGTTCTGATATTTGCAAGTACCATAGCATGTTTTGGCAGAACCAGAGAGTGAGGTTTCCCACTCTCAAACCTAGAAATGTATTTTGGATAAAAGTCACTCTTTGTGAGATGGGCGGTATCTAAATTCGAAATATAAACAAACAAACAAACAAATACAGGAGGATTTTTTTTAAAAAGTAAAATAAAGAGCTGTTTACCTTCATTTCACCTGCAGCCAAATGAGGCACAGGAGAAGTCAGCTTTCAACTTAGAATTGCTCTGAGAACTGGCTGACTTGAATATTCTCCTGTTTAGCTTAACTGAAAGCTTCTGGATTCTGACATCCATTTTCTCCACACCGTGCACCTTTTTAGGGCCCCATCACAACCCAGCTCTCTTTTCCTTGTTTTTTGGTTAAACAAGCACGTCCCAATTTGCTCCAATCACTTGATTTTTTTGCAAAACCTTTTTGTACTTCTTTAGAGTGGGACAAGATTAATCTAGGCAAGAATTACCTAAGCAATTAATCCTTTACAAAATGGAGAACAAATAAAGCTTGATTATTCACACACACACACATACACAAATAATTTACTTGCAACCCTTGCAGATTTATATTTAGGAAAGGGGCATTTGTCTCGTTCTTACCCTTCTCCAGGTTCCTTTTCTAAGAAGACAGATACAATCCTTTCATTCTCACTGTACAGAACTTAAGAGTCCTCTTTAATCTCCTAGTCAAATTCTAGGACTTGGTCCAATAAAATGGAGTGGGGGGAACCAGGGTAGGGACGGGAGTCCTAGTAGCTTGGCCAAACTGGCATTTTATGCATAAATCCAAGATAGTTTCTTCAGCACATACATGGGCAGGCATATTTTCTACATTGATGCACAAAGCCACCCCTATTTAATTTTTACAGCTCAAATTCTCCTCCAGGCACAGCCAGCTGGTCAAGAGAAGGAAGGCGCATAAACAGCCCTTGCTCCTCTAAGAGCAGCGTTTATTAAACTTTTTGCTCTCAGGACCACTTTCCCCTTTAAAAAATTATGCAAATACATTCAGCTTTTACTGACCTGTGTTATATGTATTAATATTTACCGTCTTAAAAATTTAAATTGAACGTAGAATGTTTAAATATTTGTTTATATGTTTCATAGAATGTTTATTTATTGAATCATGTAAACACAACCATATTAATCCCCTTAGATATCAACATAAATATTTTTCATGAAAAAACCCTATCTTTTAACAAATTTTTAAAAATGAGAAAAATGACATTGTTTTAAACTTTTGCAAGTATCTTTAATATCTGGCAAATAATTAAGAAACGCTACTCTAGAGCAACAGCCCAATTCTGTACCCACCGTCCCACTGGGAGTCGGGGGGCATATACATTTAATAAATTGTTATTAATGTAAGATCCCAAGCCGAGCCATTCTGAGGAGAACTTAAGCGGGGAAGGGGAGGGGGAAAAAAAAGGCTAGTACGGATTTGGTCACCCAGCCTGCTCGCCAGATCTGGGCTCTCACCTCTCTGAAAACAGCATCTCACTGCGGGCGCCGCCATCTTGGCCAGGAAGGAGAGCCCGCAGGCGCTCTGCCAAAGCGGTCCGGCCGGCCACGCGGAGTCGGCAAGAAAGGTTCCGCCTCAGGGGGAGGAGGGAATGGAACAGCGACGTGGACAGCAAGTTGTTTCATTAACCGGGTTGCGCAAGCAAAGGGCCTCCGGCGCTTATTTGCTTGGGAATAAAGTTTTAACTAAAGCATGGCTTATTAGGAACACACCATGCAGTCCCGCCAGAAGGATCGGGTTTCAACTCCCTGTAGTTTATAAACCATGGTTTGTAGCCAACAGCAGTTTACTTATTAAACCATGGTTAGTTGAATCAGCTTAGCCTGATGTGTGAACCCCACCAACTTTTGCAGTGGGTATGGTTTTATAACGGATTCATTCATTAATGTTAAAATGCTTTTCCAACTATAAATTATTGTAAAGAACATTACAACATGAAAATATTGATTACTGTACAGGAATTATGTTTCACATTGTTTTAAAATTACAGGTAGTCCTCGCTTGTCAATGGTAATGGGACCAGGAACTCTGTCACTAAGTGACGCGGTCATAAGGCGTGATGTCAGATGACTGCGCCGATGTACAATGGCAGTTCCAGCCATCTCCGTTGCTGTCATTAAGTGAATCCTGCCATTTGCGACCTCTTGTCAGCTTCCCCATTGACTTTGCTTGTCGGAAGCTGGCAGTGAAGGTCACAAATGGTGATCACGTGACCACGAGACACTGCAATGTCGTAATTGCGAGCTGGTTGCCAAGTGCCTGAATTGTGATCAGGTGACTGCGGGGACGCTGCAATGGCTGCAACTATAAGGACCTGTCATAAGTCCCTCTTGTTCAGTGCCATTGTAACTTCAAATGGTCACTAAACAAGTGGGTGTTAAATGAGGGCTACCTGCATTTATTATTTAGGTTTCTATCCAATCTTTTCATCAGCCAGCTCAAGTGGGCTTACTTGTGGGCACCATCTGGACCTTTTTGACCACACCCTGCAGACACCCCTGGAACAGCATGTGGTTGAAGTGTTGTTCTACACCACTGTTCTTACACTTTTTGCTCTCAGAACCCCTTCCCACTTTTAAAAATTATGGAGCACCCGAAAAGAGCTTTTGTTTGTATCAGTTATATTTACTAATATTCACCATATTAAAAATTAAAATTGACACATTCATAGAGCATTTATTTACTGAATCATATAAAAGTAACAATCAATAGAAGAGAATATATGTAGCTCAGGGCTGAATTGTGGAGTCCTTGGGGTTCTCTGGGCTTGGTTGTTTGCTTACAGACATTTCATTATCCAGCTAGGTAACATATTCAGTGCAAGTGGGTCTAGGGTTTACTGCCTGTGGTTTCCTCCTTGGTAGTTTATTGATTGTTGTTTTCTGCTGATTGTGTGAGTGTTGGGCTGCTGGAGGGGATGCATTCTAGTCTTTTGGCAAAACACCGAGGAAACCACACCCCCACCAAAATGGCAGGGCAAGCTACTATATATAAACAGGCAGCAAACGCCAGACTCGCTGGCACTGATGATGTTACCTAGTTGGGTAATGAAACATCTGCAAGCAAACCACCAAGCACAGAGAACATCAAGAACTCCACAGTTCAACCCTGAGCTACAGATATTCTCTTCTATTGGAACAGATCTTTATGCTTGGATTAAATAAAGGTTACTACTTCACCAATTGTCCAGTATCCTAAGAGCTTTCATCTTTAGTTTGTGGAGGATGGAAGGGGTGGTGAGTCACAGCACCTGAGCTACTAAAGGGGGAATGCCTCGTGGTGTGATGAAACACCTTGGCTACCTACGGAAGCTATCAAACTGGTGTTGAACTCTTTCCACTGCAGATCATTAACCAGTTCAGCTTCCCAGAC